TATGTAAGAAAGTCTGAAATTATAAATATCTTGAGGAGAAAATAAAACATTAAATTAACTGCATGTGATAATAGTAAATATCCTATTGAGTTAGCTAATGTAATTACGAGCCATAGGACTACGAGCTTAAAAAAATCGTATAATACTCGTAATGTTAAAGGTGAGTTAATTAGTTAGGTGGTTGAGATGACAGCTAATGCTTTCGCGTCAAGGAGACAGATGTATCAGACACTACCTCTGACGTTCGCGATCCTGTACTAGCGTTTCAGCTTTGGCAGAATATAACCCGAGTCTGGAGCAGCGTTGTTCGATGCATTCTCCCGAGGTATTCTTGGCTGGTCGCTGGGCGGGGTCTTTGGCCGGTGGGTTGTACAAGTAGTAGCCGTTTCGCATTCGTGTCTCACAGCTTTCGCAGTACGTACCCAAACCATCGCTCAGTTGTCATAATGGAGAGGCAGCTATCAGTTGAGTCAGAACGATTTGCAAGCCTAAGGCATTCGTATCAGAAAACATGACGACACCTCTCGTCCGTCCTGTCTTTATTATTCACAAGTCAGCGACTTGCTATCCGTTTTTTTTGTGGTTGCAAAAAGGGGTAGAATTTTCGTTCAGGGCCATTAGCATTATTCAACAGAATTTTTTTTGACTCGAAACCGACGTTCCTTTAAGTTCAGACTCTACCTCTTCCTCATTGCGCCAGCCGATTGTTTGACCAGAGCTGAGATAGAACCAATGATATCGACGTTATTAGGTCCGTATTCAAATCAGCTGACGTGTATCACCAGAACGAAATGATGACTCAGTTTTAATCCAGCCTTTTAAGAGCATCTCTATTTTGTACATTACAGTTCAATTTTTTCCTGTGCTTCAGAGGAAGCATACAAACATAGGAGCGGCTCGTAAGCCAGAAAGGATTAAAAGTATGCAATTCTGTACCAGCTACCCGACTAGATCGCTAGAACTACATTTTTTAACGTTTCTTCTAAGAACGAAAACCTTCCGGTTTCCTTTTGCTGCCGGTTATTTTCTAACTTCATATTCGCCTTCATTTTCAAGACAAGCATTGTGGGCTGCTTTGTTCATCATCGAGGTCGAGGCGTACATGTCTTTAGGCAGCGTTTGCTTTAGGCAACCCTGAATAATCATTTCTTTTTCAGTGACTGCCGTTTAAGTTGACCTTTTGTTCGATTCGTAAGCTTCTTATGTTCGTATGATATGCATATGTTATGTCTAGAGTGTTTGTCTGTCCATACCGGTGTCTGTATGAACCGAAACGGATTTGCTGTTCAGTCTGTTGAATTCACTTCAGTGTCATTTACTCTCTGAGTCAATAAGACCACAATGACGTGCCTTATAATGAACGGTCCAAATCGGAAACCTTTTGTTGTGACCTGTGAATGACCATTACTGCGGCTTGAGCTTGTTACGATTGACTTGTGTGAAATTAACATTGAACAATCAATCAGGTCGGCCTTGCGAAAGCGGTTTCTGAAGCCTAGACGTTTAATGCATTCATGCGATCATCCGTCTTGGCTTTGATTTGATTAAATTCTATCGCAGGACGATGGTAGTTCATTTATTACGTTGCTTTAATAATTTATGAAACGAGCATTTAACGAAGTGGTTTTTAGTTTTGAGAACGATAAGCAAAGTCGGAAACAAAGTTCATTTATTACTAAGCAAAAAACGCACGGCGACATCGACTGCTACGCAGAATCGTCGAACGACATAGTTTCATTTTTGGTTTGAACAGAACATTAAAGCGAAACTGAAGTTTGTGTCAAAAACTTACTTGCCTGAAGAGGGAACACGGAGGACAAGCCTGTTTTAAAAATTAAAAAAAACAGGTTGACACCAGAGTTAAGTTATTTATTATCAGTCGTGGGAGAAATTTTCGACTATACTCATATAAGCAGCACTTATAAATCCGTACGCTATCCTCGATTTAAATGGCCCGATGTAACGGGCCACGTTTCATGAATACAGATTTCCTTTTTCATTTCGAGTTTTACTTTGTCGTTATCCTCCGACTGTTGTGATGGTGCTGCTTATTTACTACCTCAGCGAACTTCGGTACTAAGTTGAATTTGTTTTGGTAGGAGGCTGCCACCATCGTTAGATGATGAAATTGTGTAAGCGATTGCTACAGGCCCAACATTGTGTTCATAACATTTGCATATTCTTAGATACTAATCCATAATGTTTAAATATCATAGGTTTCACAGGCAGTAAATCGCATTGCAATAAATTCATTTTTTGTTATCCCTTAAAATCAACCCTTTTCCAAAATAATGCACAAATCACGTTCCACGGCTAAAGTTGTTGCAAAGCGTCACTTTTAAAATCAGGTTTCTCCAGGCTTGTGGTCGTGCGTCTAAGATTCTTAAATTGTTACTTTTTAAAAGCTTGATTTTAATTTCCTTATTCCTCATAAATTAATGATTTGAACAGTTTGGGTACAAAATTCTTGTATTCTCAGACGAGATACATCATGATAATATTGTTTTTCCTTGTTAAACCGATGGTTAGTTTATGGTACGA